AGTAAACGGGTGAGGTCCACAGTTTTAATAGGTTTTCACTTGAGCTTTCCGTAGCAAAGCAAGTCTACAAGCCACTAAGGTGAGGTTATAGGTCTGATTTCTTTCTCGTATTGAGATCTTAGAATGCTATACGCAGCCCCCTTGCAAGGTTACTTTAGATAGCGGTATTTTCTATATAAGATTGGCATCCCCATTCTAAGGTTACTTAGTACTTAGGTCGTGAGTTCTGCTCTTAGTAGCCTTTATTCCCATCCCGCGTAAGAACATATGTTTTTTCCCTCAGTTTATGCTCTCCTTGCTTTAACTAAAGGACTTCCTTTCACTTCAAGTAGGACTCTAAGAGCTCTACCTTAGAATGAGTTAGATTTCCTGTGTTAACAAGATGGAATGGAGGGACGCTAAAGAGATGACTATTAGACTAGTGTAATCAGGTAATCGACCAAGTAATCCACATACATGATAAAAGATCATTCCAGCCCTAGTGTACTTATCTATTGGCATTGAAGGAGAAGAATGACAAGGTCTGCTTCCACAGTAAGGAATGCCACTTAGTCCAATCCAAGAGCAAACAAGGGATGCCTCATTAAGCAAGAACTCGAGCTAAGAGCGGGGTAGTTCAATTAAGGTATAGAGAAAGCTCCAACAGCTACCATTGATCAACCTTATTCAGGTACATCAATCAAAGATCTTGCTTATAGGATAACTTTCCTGGTGAAGGAGAAAAAGTTTGACAAGCTAAGAAAGTCTCGTTGAAATTAGGAACTCAGACTGTGATAACTATTTTCACTAGTTTCAAAGGCTTGATTGACCCTTGGGATTGAATCTGGCTAGTAGGTGCCCTCGTAAAGACTAAAACCTCGTTACACCAAAAATAGTAGAGGTGCGACAGCGCTTTGGTAGTGAGTGGAAACTTACTTTCTGTCTGGTTAGTAGGAATTTCTTGCCTGCTAAGGGATTAGTCCAAGTTAGACCGAGAAGTAAGAGTTTGTAATTGAAGTCGGGGGGGAGGGGGGCTGAATAGATAAATTCTTTTCCCACGTAGTGCTAAGAAGCAAGTTCCGACAACCTATGATGAAATAGCACAAAAAACAAAGTGCTACGCGAATAATAGTGTTAGTAGTTCGTGAGGCTAATTATGGGCTAGATAGTGGATTGATGTTCACAGTAGCACTATCTGACCTTGAAGGTTAAGTTAGTCTACCATGAACTCCATACCACATATTTTGGATGCTGTGGCATCAGTTATCTAGCTACATTCTATTACCGGTTGATACCATTTTGGAAAACTTTTATTCCGGTTACTGCTTGTTAAATTCCGTTAGGTTCTTTGTCAAATATTAACTTATCTGAATCCATATTCTTTGGGGGTATAACTTTGGTTGTTCTTTCCTTTGAGCTAAGATAGACCCTATCAAAAATTAGTTATAGAAACATCTTCCATTCATCTCGACCTAGACTGATCTTTGTTTTGATGATGATAAACCATAATAAATTTGTATAGTATATATACCCCCAAGCCCTATTTTTGTACCATTTTTTTTCTAAAAGAGGGCCTGGAACTGGGCTCTCTTCACAGCCCCTAAAGGTGTTAGGAAGAGATTTAATTAGCGAGCGTAATAACTTCAATCGATAGAAAAATCTATCAAGACCTAAAATAAAGAATACCATCTTCCATGGAGTTTTTATTTTGCATATCTCAAGTTTAGAATTCTCCTCATGCTTTTTCCATCACGATTTTCTCTTCGAGAACACTCGCCTCGTCGATTCTTCCCCTTGTTCATTTTATCTTGGACATTGAGATGTTTATGCAAAGCATTCTTTTCTACCCTATGTAGGCGACACAAGCTACAGAGCTGTAGACTTAAGACTTAAGGATATTTCTTTGATGGGTGATCGGGTCTTAGAATCCTCAGGAAAGTGTAAGCACCTGCATACAATTTCTATTTTGCTTTGTATATATAGATATGGATTTCTCTTGATGGAATATACCAAGCTAAATTTTCTTTTTAGAACCACAACTCAGTGAAGTAGGCGACAACTGCTGTTAGGGTCTGTCTTAAGGCATTGACTCTCTAAAAAAGGATTTCCTATCGTTGCATGGGTTCCTTTTTGTATAAAACATATTGACTACAAATTGAACTAAAGAAATAATGTTGACTGTTCGACAACGTGAAGACTGCAATCTCGACTTAGAATAATCAAATGCCCATCACGAGTCACATGGGCACCCCCACCAGGTAGAATAGTTGTGATATCCCCATCAAGATCTAACTCTAAGAGGATACTATTCATTTCTTCTTTACACTGCTGCTCGCTTTGGAGTCTAAACAATGGAAATAATACGTAACAGTCAGCCAAGTAATGATAATAAGAAAGACTAGGGTATAGCTGTTTAAATCCCCGGTCGAAATCATCCAACATAAAATTGTATAAGACCTTTGTGATTAACCCAGCATGTGGTATCCCTACTTCCGTAATAGAACAATTAATTCCATTTTGGTCATAAACTGGTATATTTAAAAAGGATGAAACTAAGGATATTACATAGCTATCACGCACCAAGGGTGCCAACTTTCGTAAAATTCATTTATGAGGAACAATACCTTGTGAGGGTGCTAGATTCAAGATGAAAATAGTTCTAATCTTTCCCACTCCACCTAATTTTGCAAAGAACTCACGGCGATCTCTGGGAAAACCACACAACTGCTCCTGAAAGATAGATGAACGCATAAAACAACTATTCAACATATGCGCTAGAGTGATTAAAATGAGAGCGTCCCTTTCACCGGAACAAACAACCTATTAATGATCAGGATCCCCTCGTCTTTGGGAATACTTAATAACTTAAGTAGGGACAATGCATACTTCTCTTCTGAGATAAGAATGATTATATCACATACACTTAAAGGGGTAACAAAAATAGATCGCCAAGTTTAGCATAGACATATAATATTGATTGGGCAAGTTGCTGTGCGAAGCATGAATAAGGTGGATTTTTCCGTGGGTCCTCGGCATCTAAATCAATTCTGAACGAACAGTATCTCTATCTGGCTTTGTTATTATTACAGTGTTATCTGCACCCAGCCAATAAGTAGAGATATGGAGAGAGGGGACAACTTTGTCGCGGACCTTTCTTTGGTTTCTTTTATGAACTCCACTAGTCGTCCATGGATTATAAGGGCTTTCCATTGTATATAAATAAACTTTCGTATCCTACTCTGCAACTCCCATTTTCCTTAAGCATATAGAAATCTATGATTAAAATTTTCATATGCTGCTGGTTTGGTGAGTTATGTGATCATGGCTGGCTCACCTGATCTATCAGCTGAGTAGTAAGCCTCCTTGGGATAATTATCAATATATCTTCCTATCAAAATGAGATTAGGAGGGCGCCATTTTTAAAGAGCCAGCCTGTCTTTCAATAGAAACTATTGGCAATTACCTTAGTCATTCTCTTATATAGTGTAGTCCCCATAGCAATGGGTCTCGATCTAGTGAGGTTTTGCTTTTTTGGGAATCATTGCTAGGAATAAGGATTGAATTGCACCTGGTATGCTCCTGTTTGACTTCAATTACCATATGGAAATGGATATCGTCCAACATTATGTTCTAGCACTGCCCCTGAATTAATCAACTAAGTAGAAGTTGAAGTTCAGTTGGAATCCATATAGTCTAGTAGCGTTTTACTATGAATAGCCCCTATTGTTGATAGAGAGCTTACCTCCCCGCCCTTTATAGTCGCGACTGTTGTCATGGAAAAAGAGTTTGTTTTCTGTCAAAGAAGCATGCTTAACACAACCTATAGCATAAAGGCATTCGAACTGCGTCTAAACTAAATGTTGGGCAAGGGCCCATACTCTCTCTTCTGTGGATACCCTATCCCTTACGGCTATGATATGGGGAAGGGGAAGTGAGATCTACTCATTGATTTTATATTAGATGAGCGGTTGTACTATGATCGTTTGGGAGACATGGGCCTACGCGCTACACACAAGAATGAATTGCTATGCGGTCGGTAAACTCTTTCTTTTCTGTGGGCAGCCTATCAAATCAGATCACTTATTTTTTAATATGTTATTACATCATGTACATGTATTCGATTTTCCATTTTTTTATATTCCTGCTCGTGCCCTGATAGAGAATGGGCATGACTCCCCCTCTCCCCGTTCTACCGTCCAAATTGGCCGGTCGTTCTAAGTTTCGGGGTTGGGTCGGATAGGACCAGATCCAATCGGATCTGATCATAGCTTCGAGTTCAGGTGTCGTACTGTGGCCAGACCAGAAAGGAGGGGGACATCGAACCTCCTGCCAAGAGGCCAAGGTTGCTTGCGAACTCTCAACCACTTGTTAGAAGGAAGTGCATCTTGATTGTCGGGGGGACTCAACGAGAAGGAAAAAATAAGGTAGATTATTTTATTTCTTCCTTTGCTAAGGATTGGCTTTTTGTTTAAGGGTATGTTAAAAACCATCGTCTTTTCCTTGTTTGTATCACCGAGACACCCAAAGGGCCGACCATATGTACCTCGGGAGCCCCGGCCCATTCAAATCAAAATAGAACGATCACCAACAACTAAGGGGAATGGAATGTCAACCACAAGGTGAGAGAATCTTATAATACGAGGGCTAGTGACTGGTCAAGTCATTAAACTTAGTCATTTTGATCAACATGGCTGCAAGTGGATTGGGTTTATGGGTTTAAACTGACTACGACCAAAGTCGTGGCTACTTCAACCAAAAAAAGGGCGACCCCCTATTCAAACCAAAAGAAGTACCTCACCCGACTTACGAAAAAGTTGTTGGAGCTGGGCTCCGAACTATGAGAGTTTGCTTTATATCTTTCTTAGAGCGGTCTGATCAAATAGGTGATCAGATCACTCATGGTGTTTTAACTAGTCATTAATGGTCAGCTTAATTAGTTCCCTTTCGGTATGTGTTGCGAACACTTTCATTTTTAGCCTCTCAGCTTTTCTAGAGAAGCAAAACTCAAATGGATAGAACTGATGGTCTAACTACATAACTTTTTCTTTTTCATTACTTCCATGGTCGTTCCTCGTGGAACGGAAGCACCCGTACTATTGAAATGGTTTGTAAGTAGAGATGTTCCCACATGTGCCCTTTTTTCCAATGGTACTATATTTCCTATTCCTATCCCTTCATTCCCTCTTTTGGTCTATCAACATTCTAGGAAATTCATACGCTCCGTGGACGGAGCAAAAAGTGGAGTCTTGGTTAGAGCGAGCCGCCATATTCTATTACCAGAGATAATTGGGAGACGCTCATCTGAAGCTAGAGCTATAAACACTTTATTTCATTTCGTTCCCGTTCTTCATTTCCTTATTCTCGAATCCAAGGGGGATTTCCCATATTTAGAATCTTTATGTGGTATGCTCCATTTACTATTCTTTCGTACTTTCTTCTTTTTACCACGTGATAGGTCAGCGAAGCTGAGCAGGCATGGAGAAGGAAAGGCCAAACACTTTGGCCTAACGGGAATGAGCAACGACGAAATGAGAAGATGAGGTGCCTCAGGCACCCCATTTAGAAAGAAGGGTCGAAGGTTTTGGGCATGTAGCTTTCCCCGTCCCCCCTTCATCGGGCGGTGCTTGTGTGGAGGGTGCGCCACTTGAAATTGGGCTTGAAGCTCTCACCTTACCAACAAGCCGAGAGCTGATGGCTGTTGGTCATGACTACTATCAAAAAGCTCCTATGAAGATGAATATTTCACATGGAGGAGTGTGCATCTTTATGTTGGGTGTTCTTCTATCGTGCAACCCGGCGGCTTATGTGCGACCTGTGGCCCACGCCTCCTATTTGTTCAAGGCGGGCATCATGAACTCTAATTTGATCCGGGTATTCAACCCCACCGCTGAGATGCTCAGTTGACTCCTTAACCTTGATAGGAAGATGGATTATTCAATAATTCGTGCATAAGGGTAAGGAACTTTGAATGAACTAGTGCGAATGGGTGTAAGCCTCGCTGCTCGGAAACACCCAGTGTTGACCACACTGAGAGACATGAAAGTGCAGGTAACGCTAGTTGATGAAGTGGCATTAAGCATCCCTAGCGGTACGAAAAGAGGGGTCGTGATGATATCATCCAAATCCGTACCACTCCTTGTGGACTAGATCCCGCATCCAACCAAGTCTTTGACCAAGGAACGGGAGAATTTCCACTACCGCTGGCAGGCCAACCAGGCCGTGAGCGTGGTGGAAACGGGCTTCCCAGGAAGCCAGCCCGTACCGGGGTCAGCATAGAATGAAGGGAACGACCCTAATCTTGTGTTGGCTTTGCCAACTTATGGGGTTGTGGGCGGTGAAAAGCGGACGTGGGGACTCGGGTCGGGGCACAACGTAACTAAGAGAGCCATTCCATTTAGGGCGAGACAAAATGGGTGGGCACGGGCGGTCTAGTGTCCGAGCCGATTGGCCAGATGATGACTACTTCACTTATTATTTTAGTATTAGCCACCTATCCCGCAATGGAATGAGATGGAATAGAAAGAACGTGAAGTGCTAGCGCTACAGGGTTGGTTTTTTTAGGGGGATAGGCTTGTGAAAAAGCAAACTTATCCCCGCCCCGACTGGAAGCTGCTAGGTTTCCCCATCTCTTCTACATCTCCCCCGGTCTTCGGCACGAGCTGTATGAGGCAAAAACTCATCCCACATATGGTTCGGAGGTCGAGCCCCACCCCAACAGTAAGGGTGCGGCTTAGGTCAACTAACAGAAAAAAGATACAATTCACTCAACGATTTCATTTGGGTTCCGAACTCCATATGGGGAAGGAGTGTTGTTGTTTGCGAGGTCTTGATCATTTACGTGGACCTAATTTTCATTCAATTTGTGGGAATTTGATGATCTATAAACCATCCCTAACGAGCGATCAGCTCATGTTTGAGCTTGATGAATCACTTCGTGCCAACCTGGTGCCAATCCAGTTTCCGGCCTCATATGAGAATGGAAAACTGGAGCATTTTTTCTATCGGTGGATGAAGAATCGCAAACATAATAATTTTTGGTTGACCATGTTCCCAGAAAAAAGATACTTTCGAGAAAGGACGAGCACGACTGAAGTGGCTATTTATACATATCTATTTATGGATCTATATGCTTCGATTGGAACTGGAAGTTCTAGAATAGGTGGCTGGTATACCACAATAATAAAACTTCCTTTTATTTTTTTTATTCGGATCGGATTTATGTTGGCTTCGTTGGGAGGCTCGCGTAGTTTGTTACGTCAACTCCAAAAGGATAAGTTGAGTTGGAATTGATAAAGTTCCGTGGAGTTCATAACTGCATAAAAGGAGTCAAAGTAGTGGTTGTGGCGCGTTGAGGCACTTCTTCGACGGTCCCCGTTTGCCCTGCCCGCCGGCCCGCCGACCCGCTCTGAAGAATTCATGATTTATATATGTTTCATGCCGGTGAGAGGGAGTGCAGAATAATGATTGATTTCATTGTATCCATCGTAGCCCACCCCATCTACCTATTGTAGGATGTCAATTGTTGCTCCCTCTCTCGAGATTGCAATCCTTATCGAGTCGTGAAGGAATGAGTAATGGGTAGGGGAATCGGGCATCGACCCTCTTGGATCCAGTAGGAGCAGGAGTAGGTAAGTTAGTATCGATCCGGTGAAGAAAAGAGAACTTAATTGATAGAGACGTTAGATATGGAGGAAGCATCTGGTCACATATCCCAAAACCTACACGGGAAAGGAACGGACTCACTCGCCCTACTTCTATAGATAAATAGAAAAGGTTAGGGGGTCCCAACTTCTGAGGTGGCGTAGTGCCAGGTGTGAGCAATAACAACAAAATCAGCGGAAGATCCTGCAGTAGTATATTTGGTAGTTTGCGGTGGAATAGATTCAAGCATCCGGGCCAGTAGATCCACAATAAATAGGCATTGACTTAGTTGCTTTTGCAGTTTATTTTAATCCCGATGTTGATCCGACGCAACTTACCGGTGATAGTCCTAGCACCAGGAGCTTTCAAGGGAGGGGGCCAGGATATCTAGTTCTGTTCTGGAATCAAAACAAAAAATTTAACTAAATAGGCAGCGAGCCGTTCAGATGAGACCCGAAGACCAGGAAGAATAAATAAGCAAAGGGAGGGGCTTCTTCCTTCAACAGAGGTAATGCTTATTCTTCTACTTTCTAGTACTCTTGAATAAGGCAAGGCTTTTCCCTATTCCCTATCAAAAGCACTTTCTGTAGAAAAATGAATTCGTCTCAAATCAAAAGAAGAAGACTCCGCACCTTCAACTAATTCAAGCAATTCAGCTAGTAGGAAAGTCATATCACTGAACATTGGATTATATACAACCTCGTGAACATTACAACCAATCAATTGAAAGTTTTCTATACATTTAGAAACTTTCTATTTATTCCCGAACGCACAAGAAAAGGTAGAACCTTTGGGAGGTACTTTCGTTCTACTTTACTATAGCAGTTTGAGATCTGTCGGTCGCTCTCTTGCAAGTGCTCGTTTAGCTCCCTCTCCTTGATCTCTTCTTTTTGTTTTTAGCCGGATATGGCCTTTTAGCCATCCCTTCAATCAAATAGAGCATCCTATCCTATGTTTTTCTTTTTTTTTTCCACGATAGCGATATTCCTTTGCTACTTCTTTCCTCGGCTAATGGAAAAAATCCTTTTACCCTTCCTGGCGCGATCCATCTCCAAATAGTAAATGCACTGCTAAGCTCAGATGTCCACTCGTTTGGCATGTTGGAAGCAAGCACTTCCTTCCCTATTTATGTGAAAAAGCTTCTAAAAGCCTATTAGTTAGTATTAGTAAAACACCTAGTTAAGGGGTTCGTAGTTGTCGCAATCGCTCATTGGTCTTCACCTCAAGTGCTTTCTTCAATGAGTCCACGTCTGCCTTCGCAGATAATAAATCAAGGACTTGTCGGTAGATCAGCTAGCTCGCACTCTAGTCTTTCATTGATCTTTTTTACCCCTCGCTTTATGAGGATGCACGCCTATCCAGAATGTGCAAAGTAAAATAGCGGTAGATCAACTGGGTATAGATCAACACATAGGCTGCTAGCAGAGTGGGGAGCAGAATCACATAGCAAGAAAACTTCATGTCAATCCAAAAATGTTAGAAAGAGAATTAGATCTAATCTCATCAAGTGGGCTTATTCAATTTCTGAAGTTAGATTGAAGATTGAGATAGCTGGCCAGTAGTGCCTTTAGCAAATGCGTTCATGAGGCCAGTGCCCAGTGGCTAAGAAGCTTGATCACTTTGTTGAATAAAGCAAGTTGACGTGATGATTGAATCTGAGTGAAGTATCACTACTTGGCCCAACGTTATCGAGAAAAGGTTTTGTTTCCTTAGTCTTTCTTGTGCACTTTTTTAGTCTACTTAGTCTATCTGAGTGGGCTTGGTTGGCAGGGTCAGGGTCTTTCGCATTCTTATCTAAAAAAGAGTAAGAGGGTGGTTCCCTCAATTGTGGCATCGCTTTCATCATCCCTCAGATAGGTTGATGAGCTTTTGGACAATTCGATATGAGCGAACTCCAGAAGCATCAGACCGTCTGTAATGGCTCGTCCCTAGTGCCTTTGAACGAACTGAAAGGCCTCTCTTCAACTCTCTCCGAGGTTTGAACTGCCAACCAACTCTTTCGACTGTGAGTCATGAAAAGAATGAATGACCACTAGAGGGGGAAAGCGATAAAAATTGGTTCCCTACGACGTCTTCTGTCTTCGCGCTTTCTAAATACAACCCTAGCCTTCCACACAAGCTGTAGTATCCCCGGGAATCTTTTCAAACCTTAGTCAAGGCTACTTGAAGATCCTTTCATCTCTTTTTCTTTGTGTTGAGAGAGATTCGCCAAAAGGCTCATTCCAGGAGTGAAAGAGAACATGGCTTGCTTAGCAACCAAAGCTAGCTTACTATGGAAAAACCTGTTAATGGGAGAGCCTTCTTTGGCGGGACAGGTACTTCTCCATTATCCCTTGCCTTGCTTTTTTGCTCGGCCACTCTCTGTTCTTAAGTAAGGGTTCCCCTCTCTCAAAAAAAAGAATATGTTAATCGTTACCGATACCAGGCAGAGTTGCTTTTCCTTGATCCAGAGGAGATTGGTATTGGTAGAGTGGAATTCAACCCCGTATTTTTGCCCTTTGGCTGGTAATCACATAGGCCATAAGGTGGTCTATCACCTGGGTTGGGGAGAAAAGCTTTTTTGTTGTCGAAAAATCCCTCTCCGCTTTATTAAACTCTTCTCTTAGGTGAGAGCTCACTCAATTCCTTTTTAAACTTTCACAAAGCTCTCCTTTCCTTAGAGTGAGTTGGTTTTGACTGAAAGAAGGTTTCATCCTGACTTTCATCGGGGATAGGTACGGGGTCTGGGTCGGTCGATACGATGAACAGGAAATCAAAAAATCTTGCTTCATTGAAGTCCCTCATGGAAGAAGAATTAGCTGATGTAGAAGGCTTATTTGTTATCGTATCCACCACATAGTTTACATACTCAGACAAGCTGACTCCAGCGCCTATAGTAATAATCACACTAAAGCTAAAGAGATCCCAATAGTCAATCCTCTACGCCCCAATGTTGTCAACGAACAATCACCTTGCCTTACTAATATATGAATTGTTTTGCATTTTCTTCCTCCAACAGGAAGGAGAGCAGCTGATTCTAGGGATGCCCATTTGTCTACATCAAAAGGAAAGGAATCAGTCCGGTAGCAAGAGAGGAATTCCTCTAAGCCGTATCATCAATGTTAATAGCATTTATCGATGCTTCTCCACACTGTCTCGGTCTCACGATGTGGATTCAAACCATTAATTCTCCTTATTGTCGAAATACATCCTGTATTTTCACCTTAGTAGTCCTATGCATAGTCAGTACTATATCCCCAATCATGGATACTAATAAAATAAGACTAGAAACCAAAAACTAGACAAAATAGTAGGTATAAAGTAAATTGCCCAATGTTTCCAAATTAGTCCAACTTCGTACCTTTCCGGCATAAACCGTATATCTCAGAGAGGTCGTATGTTTTTGGGTTGGTAGTAATAGAATACTTTCATTATCTAAAATAAAGAACATCTCCCACTAAAAGATCAGTCCAATAATACCACTTACTAGTAAATAGCACAATACTTCTTTGTGAATCTCCGCTATTTGAATATGGAACATCATAACAACGAATAGGAATGAAACAGCTATAGCTCCTATATAAACTACTAGGAAGATCATAGCGAAGAAGTCAAGACCTAACAAAAGAAGTAAACCTGAAGTGTTGTGAAAGACTGGGATGAGAAACAAAACGGAATGTACTGGATTTTTAGCATGTAAAACCATCAAACCAGAGACCAAAGCAGGGCTCGACAAAACAGAAAGTATCATAGCACGTCGTCCTTCTTTGAAATGGAACTTTCATGATGGAGCAAGAACTAGCATGAAAGACGATCTATTACAACCAATGCGATTGATCCTATTTCATTTTCTTCTTCCAAGCCCTTCTTAGAAAGTAGTCACTGAGTTACTTACGGAATCTCAAATCTCTCTCGACGCCCAGAATTATTTATGTGTCCAGGTCGATTAGAGGTTCGGCTTCCTTCTCCCCCACCTTTTAGCCTTCTGGACCCCTAGAAAAAAAAAAGCTGAAATCAAAAAGAAAGAAGAGAAATTGGGCCCAAGTTGGTGGTGTTGCATCGGGTCTTCTTCTTGCATTGAAGAACGTAACTGTTGCAAAAAACGGGATTTTAGTAGTAGGCGGCATCCCCTCATAGTTTTGAGTAGGCAAAACCATTCTGTTTTGGTTCTTCTACACGGGTGATCCATGAATTTTCCTATTATTTTTTCAACTGAGATTTCGATATAGAAGGATCTCTTTATTTCTTCACCGCGGGTTCTCGCATCATTTTCTTGAAAAGATATTATATCACTGTGGGAGAGTTTAAAATGAGTAATGTTAACCATTCCATTATTCACACAAACCCTTCTATGACTTATCGGCTGCCTTGCTTGAGGAATAGTTTCAAAAAGGGATAACGTCCCTATGATAGATAATTAATTTTAAAATAAAATAAAAATGAAAGTAGTAGTGAGGCATCGGTACGGAGTTACGTCAGCTGTGGATATAGACTAGGCTAAGGGACAGACTTCATCTCTTCTATTTTCTTCACTTACACCTTACACTTCAGCTGAGTCTAACGATGCTTAGGTGCGGAGCCTTCCACTGTGGACCAAGACTACGCAAAGGTAGAACACCGTAGAAACTTCACTGACTTTATCATCAACCTTGATTTCGCTACGCTCAATAAGAACCTGGAATAGCGAAAATAGGTTCGTGTTTCGCTTCCAAATT